GCTTCGTACCGGCATTTTCGCACCTGCGGCCATCACGTAAGCGACCCTTGTGCCATCAGTTAGGACCAAAACGAACTATTTTTGACAGTGCGGATAACAGGGGAAGGGGCAGGAATTCCTGGGTCGCCGAGGGAGAGGAAGGGAGAAGGAGGGAGTCGTGGCTGAACGTATGGCAGCTGATCCAACTGGGATGCTGGCCATAATTCGAAGGTTCGAGCTCGGCTTTCCTGCTCTCTCCCTCTTTCTTTCTGCCTATCACTTTTTCACTGCTTCCTTTTGTTCTTTGCCCTGCCCCGTATGCTTTGAATTAACCCTTTTTTTGCATTTCCGTGTCAGTCGAAAGGAAGAGAGACATGCTTTATTTTGAAAAAAAATCCAAAATTTTCAGCAAAAAAACGTCCTCTATTCAAAAGGGATAAAATAAGGCGCAAAAACTCACAATACTAGGAAATCAAGAGCAATCCATAATCGGCAATAACTTAAATTTTCGATATCGTGGATAAATATCCTTGGAAAAGTAGACAAATATGCCTTCAACATGGCCCTAGCGTCGTGACCTCGTGCACACAGGACTTCATTGTAGTTCAAATAAACGAACAGAGATAAGAATTGGGTTATAATGGACGGAGTAGCCCAGCCGACGTATATATAAGAACATTTACGTGCAAATGGAGGAACGAAAAAATGGCGGCTCATTTTGAAAATCCCTTCGAAGAGCAAAAAGAGTGCTAACAACAAAAATGGGGGGGCGGGACAGTTGAGTAGCCACATCTGGCTTCTGTAAACCATACTCTATCAGCGAGATCCCAATTCTCTATGTACCCTGCTGCACTAGAGGACTAAATCCGGGTGCTGTGGATGAGTTAAGCCCAACTTTCTCTTCGCATGACCTACCATGCTCCCGTCTGAAATGGAGGACAGCAAGATACTTTTTATTTTGGAACTATTATTTCAAATTTGCTCAGCCAAAAGTACTCGTTCACCTCGGATAGAAAAAATGTGCGCAAACCAGATAACGCCAAAAGATAACAAATAATATCTGTACCTGTAACTTAAGAATGCAGGCTTGATCCTGATGCTGAATATGATGAGTAGGTGAGAACGTGAAACGGCCACACACCAAGAGTATGATCATTTTGAAGATGAGATAATTGAACAAACCGCAGGTTACTATCCAGAGACAGCAGCATATACTTTTATGAAAAAAAGTAGGAGTAAATCGTAGGCCCGCCCAATGGCAAAAGTTTCCCACCCCAAATGTCTAATATAATTCGTGGTTAAAGGTTTACTACTGGATTGATGAGCAGCTAATATGTGTTTCATGCGCGATAAATGCACAATAGGAAGAAATGCAAATGCGATTGTGATCGTAAACTTCACTAAAAATTAGGTGAAACGTTTGCGAGAAGGACAAAAAAGACCAAGAGCAATTCCTATTGGTTAGCGAGGGAAGTCTATAGACCCAGAAGACTAGGTGAATAACTCCTATTACCTCAAATACGTTTTAGAAAAAAAGCATAAATTGCCTGACTCGGATGACAGAAACGTCATTGTCGAATTAGGATATTACTGCCTGTTAGAATTCATATAAATACCCTAATTGTATTTACTAACTGTATGCAAGTATGTTGAAACCTCTAAAGAGACTGAATCGAAGTCTGCGCGATCGGTTTACTTAGAGGTATCACTTTATGCACACTCTATATAAGTAACCCCTTTCCCAGTATTTAGGTGGCTAATCTCCTAAATAATTTTAGATGGAATACTACTGCCAAAAGCGTTGATGGTGCTTATTGTTCGAAGCGGCAGTTTTTGTGCCCTATTAACTGCTGTGTGTTGGCTTTTCTATTATTCCTCATACCTTTTTTTCCCGCCGCATACAGAAATGGCTGTTCTTTTTTCAATCTTACAAAAACATATTAGGCCTGGTTCAAATCTTTCACGCCGGGGTTTCACTCGTGCGTAGCCAGTGCTCCATAATGTTACATTACGCCCAGATGAAACTGTCCAAGTCATCAGGCTGTACATCATAATATCTTTTTTGAATTGCAATTTATTTACTGGGTCCTAAAACTATGGAATGTCTATTTCTCTTGTACTGGCCTACAAGCGTTTAATTCGCGGAACTCTATTTGCGCTCATACCTACGAATTTTGGAAGCATTCGATTCCTAGACATTAACTGATTTCAAAGCAGCTCTTTCAAACCATGCGGTTTCCGGGAATTTCATTTTGACTCTTTGGGAGGCGCGATTGCATTTTCAGTCCTTACGCTCGGTCTCTTGTGCACATAAAAATGTGTAGCGGCTGCTCAGACGGGAATTTTAAGACCTGAATAGAGCGCCGGGGCATCGGAGCAGTTTTCTACGCAATTACTCAAAGTGTGTATCAATTGAGGGCTCAGAGGGCCACCC